CCTCTTCTGAGTTTATTGTCAAGTTTTTTTGTTTTTGTTTTGTTTTTTGCTCATTTTTTCTGCCCCCCCCCCTTTTATGGTGACGTAGTGTTTTAATGTGAGAGTTGGGTTGCGGTTCTGCACTGTCCCAATCTTATTGTGCTGGGCTCAGGGTGTTACTGCTGGCTTTCACTGGAGGGTAGACTTCCATTCTGACTTGCACTAGGGAGTGGAGCCTCCCTTTTCATCTCCCCTGGATTAGCTGCTGGCCTGCCCCAGGGGGAGGACCCTGCTACTGGGTGGCTATGGTAACAGAATCTTGCTGGTGGCTGGTCCTGGAGGAGGGATCTTGTTGCTGGCCCGCCCCAGGGGGAGGGCCCTGCTGCTGGGTGGCTATGGTAACAGAATCTTTCTGGTGGCTGGTCCTGGAGGAGGGATCTTGTTGCTGGCCCGCCCCAGGGGGAGGGCCCTGCTGCTGGGTGGCTATGGTAACAGAATCTTTCTGGTGGCTGGTCCTGGAGGAGGGATCTTGTTGCTGGCCCGCCCCAGGGGGAGGGCCCTGCTGCTGGGTGGCTATGGTAACAGAATCTTTCTGGTGGCTGGTCCTGGAGGAGGGATCTTGTTGCTGGCCCGCCCCAGGGGGAGGGCCCTGCTGCTGGGTGGCTATGGTAACAGAATCTTTCTGGTGGCTGGTCCTGGAGGAGGGATCTTGTTGCTGGCCTGCCCCAGGGGGAGGGCCCTGCTGCTGGGTGGCTATGGTAACAGAATCTTTCTGGTGACTGGTCCTGGAGGAGGGATCTTGTTGCTGGCCTGCCCCAGGGGGAGGGCCCTGCTGCTGGGTGGCTATGGTAACAGAATCTTTCTGGTGACTGGTCCTGGAGGAGGGATCTTGTTGCTGGCCTGCCCCAGGGGGAGGGCCCTGCTGCTGGGTGGCTATGGTAACAGAATCTTTCTGGTGGCTGGTCCTGGAGGAGGGATCTTGTTGCTGGCCCGCCCCAGGGGGAGGGCCCTGCTGCTGGGTGGCTATGGTAACAGAATCTTTCTGGTGGCTGGTCCTGGAGGAGGGATCTTGTTGCTGGCCTGCCCCAGGGGGAGGGCCCTGCTGCTGGGTGGCTATTTTGACAGGTCTCTGCTGGCAGGCCCCAGGGGTGGGGTCTTGATGTTAGCTAGCCCCTGGGCAGGGCTTCACTACTGGTCAGCAATGAGGACAAGGCCTTGCTGGTGGCTAGTGCTAAGAAGGGTGATGGAGTTGTGGGAATGGGGCCTTGTTGTGCTGCACAGACTGCTGTCTTGTCTAGGGGGATGCTGGTTTGTAGGAGGGTGGGGCCTCCCTGGTGAATTGCCCCAGGCTTGGAGCCTTGCTGCAGGCCCCCTGCTGTGAGGCCAGCTGCTGCTGCTCTTGGACCTTACTCCTCTCCCATCCCAGTGCTGCTTCCCTGCTCCTAGACCAATTCTGAGGTGGTTCTCTAGTTGTCTGGAGGGGAATTTGGGAGGACTTCAAAGGGTTCCTTCCTCACTCTGTCATCTTAGCACTGGAAATATTTATACTTCATTTTATATTTTAATTTATTTTTCAGTTGGCAAATATTTGTTTTCTTTTCCCTCTTACCCCACCTTCATTTAAAAGAAAACAAATACCTGCAACCAATAGGCATAGTCAAGCAAAAAAAAACCATTCCCATATTGTTCATGTTCAAAAATACATGTCTTACTCTGCAGCTTGAGCCCATCACATACGTCTCCATTAGGAGATGGGCAACATGCTTCATCTTCCATCCTCTGGAGTCATGGCTGGTCATTGCATTGGTCAGAAATCTTAAGTCTTTCAAAATTATTTGTCTTTGCAATGTTGTTATTATTGTATAAATTGGCTTTCTGGCTCTACTGACTTCTCTCTGTTAGTTGCCACTCCAAAACAAAACAGACATACTAGCTCATTTGTTAGACCTCTGCCACAACTTGAAGTGCTTCCTGTTTTCCATGTCAAGCGTATCCAGAAGGTGAGGGCCGCCTGCTTATAATCTATTACATTGTAGACTCCTTAAAGTGGAGGCTGGCACATATGTGCCTAGCATATAGCCTTGGTTTTTGTTTGTTTGTTTGTTTATTTTGTGAGGCAATTATGGCTAAGTGACTCACCCACAGTCACACAGCTAGTGTTATGTATCTGAGGCTGGATTTGAACTCAGGACCTCCTGCCTCCAGGGCTGGTGCTCTATCCAATGTACCACCTTGTTGCCCCCTAGCACACACAGCCTTGTACAGAGAATGATTTGTGCCTACTCTTTGAATTTGTAGACAGCCCACTAGGCTTTCTTCTCTCCAGCCACTCCATGCCTAATTACAGGATTTTTGAAGATTTGGGGACTATGTTGTGTAAATCCGGCCTCTTCATTTTGCCATAGGGAAGAGCTAGAGCTGTTGGCAGTTAGAAGGTGACTGTCAAATGATGGGGACAGGGGTTATGCTGGGTTAAAACGTAGTCCTCTTTAGTTCAGGGCAGAGATGCTTGTCTTGATGGTCTTCTGTGGTCCCCACATTACCTAACGTTGTCACATACATAGAGAGCTTCAGGAGAGCCCTAGCAGTTGAGGGGATAAGGGAAGGTTTTGTAGAAAAGGAGGTGCTATAGCTGTGCCTTAAAAGTAGAGAGGGGCTCTGCAGTGCAGAGGTGAGAAGGATGTAGTGTCATGTATGCGGGATGGTGAAGGCACAGAAAAAGATGAGGGATGTGTCATGTGTGAGGAACAGAAAGATCAGCATGGCTTGCTCATATTTCAGGGAGGGAAAGTAATGTCTAATAAGGCTGGGGCAAGTTATAAAGGGCTTTCCAAGTCAAACAGGATTTTATATTTTATCCTGGAGACACGAGGAAGTCGTTGGAGTTGACTGAGTAGAGCAGTTAGATGGTTCTACCTGTGCTTGAGAAAATGCCTTTTGGCCAAAGGATGCCAGCTGGGTTGGAGGAAAAGAGATGCTCTAGGCATAGAGAGCCATTTGGAGGCTGTTGTACTAACTTAAGTGAGAGGTGATGAAGGCTTGAACTCAGATGGTAGCTTCCTGAGTGGAAAGACAAGGGGTCAGATGGAGATGCTGTGAAGATTCCTATATATACTCATGCTCCCAAACCCCAACACATGGAAAAGTCCTGTTTCCAATGGAAACTCAGTTCTGGATGGAGTGGGTGGGATGGCTGTTTAAATCCATCTGCCAGTCAGGTATTTGAAGTGATTAGTGTTAGTATTCATCCAGGGAAAACTGCACAAGCCAATTCACATCTGGCCATGGTGGTCTAAAGCCTTGTGCAGTTTTCCCTGGGTGAATGATGCCCTTTCAATAAGGCAAGAATATTTTTAGGACTCTAGGGTATCTATCATTCAGTGTCCTGGGAGAGGTAGTTTGATAAATAGAGTCCTAATGGCTCAAAGCCTTACTTAATGCTTCTCAAACCATCATTGATTTCTACTTTAGGGTAGGATTAGGACCAAGTCTATGTGGGTCTACTCTGCTTAGGCTTTTATCACAGTAGAGGAAGCTATTACTTTAAAAAAAAAAGATAACACAAGAAATGTCATTTTTCTCATGTCCTTTTACACTCACCTTACAGTAAGAATCAGTTCTACTAAATTACGTCCAGAAATAAAACATGACAGGTACCTTCCTGGTCTCCATAGTTTTGAATTTACATAGGAATGAATCTTGAGTTTTGAACACTGAAATTCTGTTGTTTTATCCCATGAATTACAAATGCCTAAGAGCCCCTAGAGGAAGTATGCATGAAGGCATGGAGCTAATATGGCTCCCCCTTCTAGTCACTGAATGTAGCTCCTTGAGGGCAGGGATATTTTCTTGTTTATCTTTGTATCCCCAGCAATTAATGTGTATGTTGCACGTGATAGGCACTTGGTAAAAGCTTGTTGACTATTTGATTCATAAAATCACTGAGTAAGAACTGAAGAGACTTAGGAAGTCACTGAGTCCAACCTACTTATTTTATAGAGGAGAAAACTGAGACCCAGAGAGGTTAAGTGATTTGCCCAAGCTAACAACTAGCAAAAGAAGGATTTGAACTCAGGCCGTATGAGAGGCCAAGTTTTTCTCTTAAAGCGTTTATAATTTCATGTTTTGGGTTCACATGATTTGGCCCACGTTCTCTCCAAATTCCCTTAATAACAAGTTGTATTATGATGAGAGTCTGTTGTGTCACTTAACTTACTTCACTCACTATAGTCTTTTTAAACCCTGGAAAATAGAGTTTACCACATTCCCACCCTAGAAAATATCAGATCCAGTGGCACAGCTGGTGTTTAATGTAGGATGGTTATATAATAACCCAATGAAAATTTCTCCCAGACTTTTAATGCATCTTTTGGGAATTTTGCAGAAGTGTAAGGCCACATAGAAGGAAAATTTAAACTCCTTTTGGATTTCCCCCCCCTGCTTTCCTTTACTTTTAGAGCATCAAACATGTAAGACTCTGTATAGTTAACATGGTTCTTGCCATTAAAAGTTTAAAAAATCATTATTATTAAACTAGTAAGTGAAAATCTTTATCAGAAATTTTATTTTCTTTTTCCAAAAGCAGAGAAAGCTAATTTCTTTAGCTCTAGTGCATTAAAATTAGTGGTTTGTTGTGCCCAAGAGAGATGTTTCTAATGGAATTTCTTTCTATGGGAGCCTCTTCTTAAAAGGCTCTTGAAAAATTGACAAAAACTGGGTTAGTAGAGCAGTGAAAAACAAGGCTTGGAATTGGTTAACATGCACGGACATAGTATATCCGGATTGCACAGAATGACATTCAGACAATCAGTCAGCAAGAGTAAATGTGGAATTGTCATACATCTCTCTTTGCTTGTTTTCCAGTAATTTATTAGCCTGGCTGAATTTTATTTTCTTCTTACTTCCTAACCTCAGTTTCCACAGTTAGAACTTACAGTTTTTCCTCAATGTTTAATTTCATGCCCTTCAGGCTTTTACAGTAATGGCTTTTCTCATTTCATCTTCTTTGACTTTTCCAACAGAAGTCCTGGAGGGGATTTAGGAGCCAAAAAGAAAAAGAAGAAACAGAAGAGAAAAAAGGAGAAACCGAATTCTGGAGGCACAAAATCAGATTCAGCATCTGATTCCCAGGAGATTAAAATTCAACAGCCTTCCAAAGTAAGGGCTTTGATTTATTTTAACTCTTGAGGTTTTCACTCTCCAAGGACAGTGACTTTTGCTGCCTGACAACTGAGAAGAATCAGAAGCCTAGTTTAGGGCTTTTGTCATGGCCACATGTTGAATGGTAGTGGTTAAGTGGAGGAGTCTTAATGGTCTCGGACACCTACATAACATAAGTACGTGTACATCTGTGAAAGGCAGCATAGAGTAGTGGACATAGGGCAATCTTGGAATCAGGAATAATAGCTCAACTGTAGATACAAGCAACTAGATGGCACAGAGTGCTGGACCTGGAGTCAGGAAGACTCATCTTCCTGAGTTCAAATCTAGCCTCGGTCACTTACTAGCTGTGTGGACCCTGGGCAAGTCACTTAACCCTGTTTGCCTCAGTTTCTTCATCTGTAAGCTGAGCTGGAGAAGGAAATGGCAAACCATTCCAGGATCTTTACCAAGAAGACCCTAAATGGAGTGACAAAAGAATTGGACATGACTAAAAAACGACTGAACAACAGCAAAAGTTATTATACAAATATGCATATGTATATAATATACTTGTACACATATATGTTTATATATGTGTGGGCTGCCATTCCATACATTAATATTAGTCCACAGCATAACATATACGTACATATATACACACATATTTATCACATGCACACATACGTGTACACACACGACTGTAAGCTACTTAGAGACTGTTTCATTTGTGTCTTTGGGTCCTCATTGCCTAACACAATGCCTAGCACATCTGCATCAACTGATAAATATTGTACTTTAAGATCTGCAGAACGATCATTTGTTTCTCACAACAACCCTTGGTGACAGGTGCTATTATTATCTGTTTTCTAGCTGAAGACTAAGACCGAGGCAGCTTGTTCAGGGTCACACAGTTAGTAAGCGTCTGAGACAGGATTTGAATGCAGGTCTTCCTGACCTGGCTAGAGTTCAGCACTCTCTCCACTCTGCCATGCTGCCTCTCAGCTGGGCTCAAGTCTTGACCTGTCACTACTAGCCATGTGACCAAAGACAAGTCATTTGACCTCTCAGTGCTCTGGGCAACTCTCTGAGACTCCAAGTTACAGAAGAGCTGACCATCTAACTGTGGAAGAAGTTTTCTATACTTAATCTGTCTAAGTTTTCTATACTTAATCTGTCTGTCTGTATATATGTACGTATGTATGTGTATATGTAGTGTAAGAGATCTCTATCCCAATGAAATAATGGATCCAGACCTGAAGAATTAAATACAAACACACACACACACACACACACACTGCCTTTGTATTCTCCTTTAAGGCTTTTTAAAAAGAATTCTGTAAGTTAATATTTTTCAGAAGAAAGAAAGTCTCAGTGTTATAGCTTGAAAGTCTTTGGTTTTATTTTTAAGGGTTAATCTTTTAATTATTTTTAGTTTAGAAGATAGTTCCACTTTAATTTTTCTGGATGCTTGTCAAATTACCTGAATAAGCACATCCCCGTCTGGCAGCAGATTTTGGCAGGCGCGGCCAGGGGTAAATCCACACCCATCATGAAACAGACCATTTGTCAGTGTCCAGCCTTTAAATCTTCCAAAGTGGAAAACTACCCTGGTGTTGCCACTGAAGAAGCCTTCATTGCTGGTGTCAGCCAGATGTCTGGTGAAGAGCAGAGGGCTGTACCCAGAATGCACATGCCGGGAGAGACTGCAGCTGCCATGGCTTGTGGACAAGTGCCTCAGGAAAACTGGGTCATGAAGGATACTGTCCTGGTGCTGCCACAGAGAACCCTGGCAATAAATAGTCTGTTCGCATCACATAGGTCAAATCACATTACCCAAAATTTCAGGATTAAAGAGGAGCACATATAGGGCAAGAAAAATAGAAATGATTTTGTTAATGCTTAAGTGAGTCCTCAGCCGGGTCTTGTGAATATTGTTCTTAGATGGCTTTCGTTGTAAGGAGATGAGGCCTGTGTTCTGTACTATGAAAAAGGACCTGCAGCAGGTCTCCACATTACAAATAAGGACTTGGAGTTACTGAGGAGTCACTTTCGAGTGCTTGGTGGAGGCATGAGGAAACAGGTTCATAGGGTCATAGAAGCTGAGTAGAAGGGACTTTAGAAGTCATCTAGTCCAACCCCTCATGTTTTAGGTGAGGAGTCTTAGTCTGAAAGAAGTCAAGTGATTTGCCTAACATCCCACAAGTAGTGAGTGGCAGGGTCAGGATTCTAACTCCAGCCCTTTGATGTCAGGCTCATCATTTCAAGTTCATCTTTCTCTCCATTGCCATAAAGAAATTTTTTCCTTGAAGGCAATGGGAAAAGGCATGAGGAGGTCAGGAATTGGTTTTATATCCTGCCTTTTGACATTTAATACCTGTGTGACCTTTGCCAAGTCACTTAAGCTCACTGAGCCTCAGTTTCCCCACTTGTAAAAGGTGGGAGTTGAACTGACTGGCCTCTGAGGTCCCTTCCAGCACTGTGGCTATGATTCTGTGACCTTTGTCTTTGCCTGTCATTCTCCTCCTGGCTCTGATCCCAACTTCTGGACTTCACAATGATACCTCAGCTGGTGTCCCATCTGAGAAGTTCCCTTGGCACATGGTGCTTCCTTGCTTACTTACATCCAACTACTCCTGGGGCCTTCTCCCCTTGGACTATCCCTCTGCCAGACCAGCTTCCCTCTCATATTGGTGAGTACTTCACGAAGGCCTGTTTTGTGGGGGGTCCAGGGTGGCTGGCCCTCATTCCCTTCTTGATGATGATCCTGACTTTCAGACTTCAAAACTCTGCCTTTCTACATCTGCCCCCAAATCCCTGCTTTTTCGCTCCCTTTTTGTACGTTGAGTACCAAAGCTCCTAGAGGGCAGGGCCTAGCTTTCTCTTTGCTTGTATTTGTATCCGAATCACTTAGTACAGTGCCTAGTACATAGTACACACTTCATAAATGTTAGTTTACTTCCTCCCTTAGATAGGTCACTTGGGCCTCAATTTTCTCATCTGTAAAATCAGGGATTTGGCCTGGGTGGCTGCTGAGTCACTGGTAGCATGACATCTGTGATTCTGTGATAGGAGAGAAAAGTGTGGATACAGATTCAGAGACATTGTGATAGGTTAAAAAAACTCATGTTGGAAAGCTTGGATTTTCTCAGCATCATGGAAGGCAGTTTTGTCTGCCATGCATATGGGAAGTGAGATTGAGTCTGAGGGCTTTAAGAAAGAAAAATTTTGTAGAATAACTGCTCTGGGGTGCATCATAGGGTGTCACAGAGAGTTAAATGAAAAGATTGGCTGAGCAGCAGTGAGAGCCCAACAAGGTTATAAAGGACGAAACGAGGGCAGTTCATGGCTTTCTGTTGTAACTCTCAAATGGAATTGCTAGATTGCTTGCCAATGCAGGATTCAGGTGTGCAAAGATCTTTTCTGCATCTCAGTACTTGTAGAATTTGCTTCCCTAGTCCATGTCTTCAGGTGTCCAAGCCCTCCGTAACAGGGAGGGCAGGGGAAAGAGCGCTAGATTTGGAGTCAAAAGACTTAGGTTCAAATCGTCTCCACCTCATGGTTTGCAACCTTGGGCAATACACCTAACTTCTCTGGACCTCGGTTTCCTTATGTGTAAAGTGAGGGCGTTGGACTAACTTGCCTCTGAGGTCCCTTTCCTTTAACATGTCTTCAAAGATTGCTCTCCATTTACATGTACGTATCTTGTATATACAGAGTTGTGTGCATATTGTCTCTTCCACTAGAATATGGGCTCTCTGAAGGCAAGGCCTTTGTACTTACCTTTCTTTGTGTCCCCAGAACTTAGCCCGGGTTTGGCACATAGTAAGCACTCAATGAATGCTTGTTGACTGATTGGCTTTCAGTTCTAAATCTTATGATCTTAGGATAACCCTTTTCTAGGGCTTTCCATGATGTTTTTTTCTTGGGCTTCCTGTCTTCAAGAGACCTATATGCATCTCTTTCACCCTCAGCCTACCAACAGTGATCCTGGCCAAAAAAAAAAATGGCCTTTCCTTTGTTGGCCACCAAAGATCATGTCCTTGGGCTTTGGGATTTTACTCAATTACCCATTGCACAATCCTTCAGATTTATGGCTCTCACTTGGAAACCTTCTGCCACCCCTAATCTGTTCCTTCCAATATGGAGTCAGAAGACTTAGATTCTTCCTCTGACACTTAGTATACCTATGTATTTTAATCATTCCCCCTCTTTGGACCTCAATCTCCTAATCTAAGCAATGGGTTTTAAATCTCAGGCTGACATTCTAAATAAGAGGGTTGAACTAGGTCACCTCTGAAGTCTCCTTCCTTCCAGATTGATTTGGCTGAAAATACATTAATGAGCCGTTTGCTACAGGTTTCCACTCTCAGGGAAGTTCATTTCTCTTCTCCACTGTTACAAATGGACATATAGTAGCTCTTGCTTCTGGAGGTTGTATGATTCTGGAACACATGCACTCGTCCCTCAGCTCCACGATTCTGGGCTACTTCTAGAGTAGTAGACAGTGGTGAACTTGGGGGGAGACGAGACCTGGATTTGAATCCTCACTAGCTACATAACCTGCTTCAGAGGGCTGCGGTGAAACGTGAGTGAGACAGTATTTATAAAGAACCATGTCAGTCTGTCAGTCTTTAAGCCTCCGTAGAAATATCAGCAATAATTACTACCTCCTCCAGATTCAGTTTAGAAAATGATGAGTATTATTAAGTTGATTCTGGGAAATCTTCATAGGCACCAGTGGATAAACTTTATACTGTTATGGTGAATTACTTGCCTTCTAGGAATAGACTCAACCTGTGATTTCATTACTGTAGGGAACTCCCAAGTGTTAACTCCCTCTACCAGTGGAGATTGGCAGTTTCTAGACAACTTCTAGTCTTTTTCTTTTTAATTTTATTAATTTATTTTGATTTATCAACAATCACTTCCATATGCTTTTGAGTTGAAGGTTTTTTTTCCCCTTCCTCCCCCTGACCCTCTCCAGGACGGCACACAATCTGATATAGGCTTTATATTTACATTCCTATTAAACATATTTTCACATTAGCGAAGTTGTAAGTAAAAATTAAAACCAATAGGAGGAACCATCAGAAAGATGAAACAAAACTCAACAGAAGGTAAAAATAAGTGATAGCAATTTGACCTCCGTAGTTCTTTCTTTGGATGTGGACAGCATTTTCCATCCCGAGACCTCTGAAGATGTCCTAGATCCTTGTACTGCTGAGAAGGGTTCAGTCTAACAATGTTAGTCATCGCATGACGTGGCTGTTATTGTGTACAAAGTCCTTTTGGTTCTGCTCACTTCACTCGGCCTCAGTCCATACAAGTCTTTCCAGGTTTTTCTGAAGTCAGCCTGTTCATCATTTCTTATAGCACAATAGTATTCCATTACAATCATATACCACAACTTGCTCAGCCATTCCCCAATTGATGGGCATCCTCTCAATTTCCAATTCTTTGCCACCACAGAAAGAGCTGCTATGAATATTTTTGTATATGTGGGTCCTTTTCCCATTTGTTTGATCTCTTTGGGATATAGCCCTAGAAGTGCTATTGCTGGATCCAAGGGTATGCACATTTTTGTAGCCCTTTGGGCATAGTTCCAAATTGTTCTCCAAAATGGTTGGATCATTTCACAACTCCACCAACAATGTATTAGTGTTCCAATTTTCCCACATCTTCTCCAACATTTATCATTTTCCTGTTTTGTCATGGACAACTTCTAGTCTTAAGAGCAAAGGTTCTTAACCTTAGGTCAATGGACCTCCAAGAGTTCTGTGGATAAATTACAGGGAGTCTATAAGAAGATTTGAGTGGAGAAAAAAATACATTTTTATTTCAATATAATTGGTTTCCTTTATAGTACTATACATTTTATGCATTTAAGAACACCGTTCTGAGTGTCTGTGACACACACAAAAAATGGTTTAAGAATCCATCTTAGAGAGTTTCCTAGAGCACTAAGGGGTTTAAAGTGACTTGGCTAGGGTCACAGTGCCCATACACCTTGTGAGCTAGACTTGAACCCAGGTCAGCTTGCCTTGAGGCCAGTTCTCTATCCACTGTGCCATGGTGCCTGTAACAGAGTAGAATACAGTATCTGGCAAATCACAACTGGGGTGATCATATGCCCGGCTTACAATGTAATTACTTCCCCCCTGGGTAGTGCTTTTGTGCTATTGGAAGATGGATAGGTTTAAGAGTGTGTCCTAAACATTTCACACTTTTTTTTTTTGGCTAGGCAGTGGGATTAAGTCACTTGCCTAGGGTCATATAGCTACTGAATGTTTTGTTTCTGAGGCTGGATTTGAACTCAGGTCCTCCTGAGTTCAGGGCTGGTGCTCCATCCACTGCACCACCTAGCTGCCCGTTAATGTGTCATTCTTATTGCCACCTTCCTTGACCAATCTAAATCCTGTACTCAACTTAGAATTCTACCTTGAGAAATGTTTTGGACAGTGAGGATCAGGGCACACATGGCATTTTGTTTCTTGAATGATAAATTTTTGTTTAGTGAATTTTTGTCAGTCAACATGATAGAACTAAATTAAAGGTAAATTATAAATTTCCAACAGCCTTCTGTTATAGAGTTGTGATATTATTAGCAACTCTTGGGACAAAGATGTTGATTCTTACTTATTTCAGAATAGTACAGCTTTGATAGATTTTGCTTAAGGGAGTTTTACTTCACCAGTCAGGGGCAAACAAGATGGCGGCAAGACAAATGCAGAGCAGTAGCACTGTACGCTTTATGAGGCTGGGTAGTGCTCCATTTAAGATAAAGTGACAGATGTGTTACCTAGACATGCTTTGTTGAAGTGGGCCTGACTCTTTTCTAGCTCATAAATTGTGTTGCAGTGGGTTGAACATTTTGTATGGTTTAAAAAGTCACCTTTTTGCATGAAGCTCAGCAAAGACCTCATACTAAAGAAGTAATTGGAAGCCATAATATATTATTTGAGCTGAAATAATTTGTTCAGTTAGCATATGTAAGATGTGGCCCTTGTGAATATGATCTCATTAATCAAAGTATAAAACAGGCATCTTACAAAAGCAACAATAATCTCCAAACTGAGCTGTGAGATAAAAATAGGAGTGTTTAGCTTTTGACCAGACTCCAGTTAGAATTAGTACTGGGTGGTCTTGGGTCATTTTATAAGCAAGAATCCCCAAGAAACTCAGTGACTTCAGCTGGTCCATTTTAAGTAAAATTCATTAAGTGCAGTGTGTCAGATTGAACCAAAGGCATCTCTAGTTTATAAATAAAGTTGCTTAACTAGAAATAAAAAAATCCAAACATAAAAATCTAAAGTTGCTCATTCCCAAACTTTATAAATGCTCCCACCCCTTCCTAGGTATGATATTTATGGAGTATTGGCACTCATACACATTGGAATGTTTTTATCCTCTAACACCTTCTAGAATAGAGCTCAGCAAGGATTAGTGGCATCTAAACTCAGAGAAATGGAGTATTTTTTTCTTTTTAACCATAATTTGAAAACACTTAAAAAACAATGGAGAATGTTTTCAGACTAAGGAACTTTGAAACTTGGTGTATATTTTGCTTTAGATTGGCAAGGAAGAATGTTTCCCAGTGTTTTGGGAGTGGGGGAGGAGGAGATAGTTGTGGAAGATCTTTATATGAAAGGAATTACTTGACTTTCTGGCTGTTAGAGAGTTTCTTTGGAGAGAAATAGGGAGGTTAGATTCAGGTGAGATAACAGAATTTTCAGTGTGAGCATTTACAGTTCAGAAATTGGCAAACACTGAAGATTAGGGCTTGATTTATTGTTTTATAGATTGGCTTTACTTTAAAAAGTGATGGAGAAAATGTTAATAAAAGTGTGTTGTGCACAGTTTTTTACTGGAGAGCTAGTTGTTACACATTTACCAATTATAGCCCTGGAAAAGAATAAGCAAGTAGGACTTTTTAAAAAAAAAAGTTATATCCAGTTGCTTTTAAGGTTGTAATAAAGAAGCTTACTTAGTCTAGAACAGGGGATCTTAATTTGGGGTATGTGAGTTCTTTTTTAAAATAATGATATAATTAGTTACCTTTATAATCTACGTATTTTATTTTATGCATTTAAAAGCATTTTTCTGAGAAGGAATCTCCCTGGGCTTCCCCAGACTCTCAAAAGAGTCCCATGGTACAAAAACAAAAACAAAAAAAGTCCCCCGATCAGTTTAGAATTATTCATATTTTTCTTCCACTTTCAAGTTGAACAAAACTTTAACCCAGCTGCCATGTTTCAGTATAATTAATTTACTAAGCAACACACAATGCTAAAATATAGCACATATGCCAAGGACATAAAGATGAAAACAAGAGAATCATGGCCATCAGTTGCTTACAGCCATTTCTCTATGCCTAGAATACATTTCCTCCTCTCTGTGCCTAATACGAAACCTTTATTTTCTTCAAGACTGAAGTATTGGGAACACTTTCTACAGGAAACTATTCCTGATACCCTCAACTGCCAGTATCTTTCCTCCCTAACCTTATGTGGGTATGTGGTGTTTTGCCCTATAGAATGTAAGCTTCCTGAGGGCAGGTACTATTTCTTTTTTGTCTTTATATCCCCAGTTCCTAACACAATGTCTGATAGCTGGTAAGCTCTTAAGAAATGCTGTTTGAATTGTGCTGTGACTAACTTTGATAGACCTTGGCAATGCAAGGATGTAAGACAACTCCAAAAGACTCATGATGGAAAATACAGTCCACATCCAGAGAAAGAACTATGGAGTCTGATTGCAGATTGAAGCATACTATTTGCGCTCTCTCTCTCTTTTTTTTTTGTTTCTTCTTTTTTGTGATTCCTCCCATTGATTCTAATTCTTCTTTACAACATGACTAATATGAAAATATGTTAAAAAAAATATATGTATATATATATTTACCATCTTGGGATGGGGGGAGGGAAAGGAGGGGGAGGAAATTTGGAATCCAAAGTCTTATGGAAGTGAATGCTGAAACCTAAAAATAAATAAATATTTTTAAAAAGAAGAAATGCTGGTTGATTTATACTTTCTGTTGCTTTCAACAGAATACACACTCTCCTCATCTCTCACCCCCGATACACTGCTTTTGCAAGTTGCTGAACCAGGAGTGGTTGACAGACTGTAATGTTATGGTATCTTTTCCCACAGTAATCCTTTTTTACTTCTCCCAATATATATTTCCAATTTGCAAATGAGTAGCAAACTGAAATAGAAAGTAGGCTGATTTGCATAGGCTTATTAAATAGCTTATTGTCATTGTTGAATTCAAAATTCTGGAACTGCTAATGTCAGCTTATATGCCAATTGTAAATAAAACTAACACATTAAAATACAGAATTCACTCAGTAGATTTGTGCTCTTAAAAGGTAAGGTACATTTCATCTGGTAGATGCCATCTTTAGAAGTATAAATGGATACATTTGTGCCTGTCACACTGAACTCATTGCTTCTCTGTGTTTTTGTCTACACAGAATCCGGCCATTCCAATGCAGAAGCTTCAGGATATTCAAAGGGCGATGGAACTTCTCTCTGCATGTCAGGGCCCCGCCAAGAGTATTGATGATGCTAACAAACGGAAATATCAGTTTTGGGATACACAACCTGTACCCAAGCTTCGTAAGTTGTTTTTCTTCTTAAATAAAAGTAAAGCTAAGATAGTTAGCATTTATTTCAGCCATGTGACTTGCGAAATTTCTTGTAACAGACATTCATTTTTGTACTGTAATACTTTTTATCCAAATGTACAACTGTTTCATTTGTTTTTTTAAACCAGCATTTATTAAATGCCAACTATGTGCAGTCCATTGGGCTAGGCACTAGAGGAGAGACAAAATTTAGCTACGACAAAGTCTCTGCCTTTGTGGAGCTCATAAGTCTGGTGGGGGGTAAGATACTACATAGATACCTATATTACATAGTGTTGCATGATAAGTTCATCAGAGAGATACAAAATATAATGCCATGTGAGATCCAATAAGAAAGATGTTAGCCACAAGAATTAAGGAAGGCCTCATGACAAAAGTAGCATCTGAATTTGATAGAAATTCTAAAGGCAAAGAGGGGATAGCACATCACAAAGAGGGGATAGCACATCACAGGTAACAGCTATGCAGATGGGAAAGCACTGGTTATGTTTGGGGGACTGAGTAGTTCACTTTGGCTGGAAGAGTACATGGAAGGGAGTAATATGAGAGGCTGGAAATACAGCCTGATGTTATATTGTAGAGAGACTTGAATGCTAGGCAAAGGAGTTTGAATTTCATTTAATGAGTAATAAGGAGCCAATTCAGATTTTTGAACAGTGATATGATGATGACCTCTAAGGTCCCTTCAAGCTCCAAATCTAGGATCCAGATCTGATCTTAAACATTAGTCTGGTTGGTGGTTGTCTTTCATTCTCAAAGAGGACCAAAATGAGATCACTATGTTAAAGTCAAGTTTCAGTGTGTCTAACTGTGGCTGATCAGACCAATACAAGTTTGGAAGGCTCTACTACAGGTCAGACACAAATAGTCCATGTGAACATCGGAAGTGGATTCTTGAAATTCGCCCATCTCATGTTTCTTTTGAACTACTTGAATTCTGCTTTGCTCATAGAGCACAGCACCTTCCCTGAGGGCACACTATGCTGGGCAGTCCTGTTCCATGTTGCAAAATTGCAGAGTTCATAAGAGAGACCTTGAGAGTATCATTGTATCACTTTTTCTGACCACCACGTGAGTGCTTGTCCTGTGTGAGCTCTCCATAAAAGTCTTTTTGGCAAGCATACATTTGGCATTCGAACAGTGTAGCCAGCTCATCAGAGTTGTGCTCTCTGCAGCAGAGATCCAGATCTGTGCTCAAAGATTAGTTTCAAATCAGAGGAAATGATAGGTTGGAGAAAGGGGAGAGTGGAGGTGACTATTTGTTAGGATATTTAGAAAGGAAAGGTAGTGAAGCAAAGTACATTGTTGAAACTTGGTAACTTGTGAACATATAAAGTAATAGAGAGGCAAGTATGGAAGATTTCAAACATGGAAGCTTGGGTGAATGGTGTTACTGGCAGAACAGTCCAAAGAGTGTGGCCAGGTTGAATTTGAGGTTCTTATAAAATATCAGCTAGAGGTGTCTGTAGAGATGTATCAGCTACAGATGTGGGTGTGAAATTCAAACATGAACTCAGCACCAATGATAGAAAATGAGGCGTTATCTATATAGTGGTAGTCACTGAAATCAAGGTTGATTAAATTACCAAGGGAGAGAGCAGAGGGAGAAAGAAGACTGTCAAGAACAAGGCCTTGGAGAACACCTCTCCTTAGGAGGCAGGAAGAAGATGAGAATGCAATAAAAGAGTAGTCAGAAGGTAGCCAAGGGAGAGTGTGGTCAAAAATATTCTGTTCCACAGAGTGGATAGACAGTTGTAGGAGTGAAAAAAGGTGGCTACTGATTAGGTGACTGGTCAGATTTTGAGGGAGATATTTAGAATGAGTAGTGAAGGCAGAAGACAGTGTGCAAAGGGTTGAAAAGCTACTGATGAGGAAGGGAAAGCATTTGCTGTAGGTGATGTTTTTAAGGTTAGCAAAGACTTTGGGCAGTCACTTCGTTTCTCTGGGCCTTAGTTTCCTCAACTGGAAAATGAGAGATTGAACTAGATGACTACCAGTGTAGCCCTAGTAGCGCTAAATCTTTTGAGGGTGTTGCAAATTTTTATGAGGGGGATTTGGAGGTAAGGGAAATGGTGATGGTTTTAAAAATACAATAGCATCAAAGCTGTGTGTTGTTTTTGGTTTGGGGTTTGTTTTTTTTTTTAAATAGAGGTGGAATAAGTTTAGTCTAAGTGGGAGAGGTGAAATGATGGGAAGTTGTGACTAGAGATAATTTTGAAATTCAGGATTTCTGTTAAGCCATTTTTCAGTCATGTCTAACTCTCCATGACTCCATTTGGAGTTTTCTTGGCAAAGATACTGGAGTGGTTTGCCATTTCCTTCTCCAGCTCATTTGACAGATGAGAAAACTGAGGCAAAGAGGGTTAAAATGACTTTGCTCAGGATCACATAGCTAGGAAGTGTCAGAGGCTGGATTTGAACTCAGGAAGATGAGTCTTCCTTGACTCCAGGCCTGGAGCTCTATCCACTGTGTCACCTCGTTGCCCAAAAGTTGAGAACACTGAAGTCTAAAGTATGACACTGCTGGTGTGTGGCTGAACCAGGTGGAAAGGGAGTTCATTAGAGTTGAGACATAGGATTTAAGAGGAAAGAAGAGAGCTACAGTAATAGTAACTTAGCCTCAGAGAATTTATCGTGATACAGTCAGGAAGAAGTGTCCATAGTCCTGAAATATCATGGTGTAAATGAAAAAAGAAAAACTGCCTCTCTCTGATTCATTTGGTAGAGTTCATTAGATGCTTGTTCTGTGTGCGCTTGTGCATTCTTGGCACCTCATAAGCTCCTTGTGAGGCAAGAGTTTTTTCAACAATATAAATGAGCTGCTTTTGTTTTAGTTGTCACTATGGGAGTTGCAGAGGTTTGGGGATGAATGAAATGCTTAGTCTGGTTGGCATCCTAGAAGGGAAGGCAACTTATGTGAAAAAGATCTGTGGGGTTTAGTGGGTTGCAAGCTCAGTATGTCAGCAGTGTGCGATATGACAGTCCCCACAGCTAATGTAATCTTTGATTGCATTAAAAAATATATTAACTTCCAGGAATAGCGAAGTGATGGTCCTGCTGTACTCCACCCAGATCAGACCACACCTTGAGTACTGTGTTAAGTTCTAAGTGCCGCATTTTAAAAAGGACACTGAAAACTTGGGGGGCATTTAAAATAGTAAAAAAAAAAATCCATGCCTTATGAAGACCTGGTGAAAGAACTGGGGAGCTTTAGCTTGGAGAAGAGAAGACTCAGAATGGACATATCTACCAGTTGCCTTTAAGTCTTTGAAAGGACAGAAGGAGGATCAAAACTGTTCCCTTTTCACCAGAAAGCAGAACTGGAGCAACAGGTAGAAGTCCCAAAGAGGCACATTTAGGCCTGAGGTCAGGAAAAATTTTCTACAATTGGAACTGCATAGAAGTAGAGTGGGTTTCTATCAGACATAGTGGGCTCCCCAGCACTGGGGGAGAGGTCTTCAAGCAGAGACAGGAAGACTACCTTTTGTCAGGGGGCATTTTTCAGGTATGACTTGGGCAGTAGTCACTGAGGTCCCTTCCAACTCTGTAATTCTATGATGGGAAATAATTCCAAGATAACTGACTGATTTCAAAAATATTTTTAAACAGCTTGAATTGGTCCATCTGCTTGCATTTTTTCTTGAAGATTCTAGAAGGTAACCCCCTCCTTCACCTCTCCAGGTAGTATTAAATTACACTGACCTAAAGTTGAGTCTTTATTAGGATAGCTTTTTTTTCTTGTTCTGGCATCCTTTCTGGTCTAAATCTGTTGGTTTTAGCTGACCACTATTTGGCTTGCTGCATTTGGTACCATGTCAGTCACCAAGGTTCTGCTTAATAGTGAAGACAGTATTGCCCAGAAGATACCTAGCTCCCTTGGAACTTCTTGTATAAATTTAGGTCACTCACTACTTGGCACTAATCCTAAGGTGGTACTGGAGCCTCTAGAACCACTGAGACTAACCCAAGAGATTGGACCAACTAGGCTATTTGAAGCCATTCTGGGGGATAGAAATATAATGGCTTTAGGCTCAGCTGGCTCAAGTCAACAGAGTCCCTCATTTGGCATGTGGTCTGCTTTTTGGGGATGGGAATAAGGGTGGCAGGAGGGAAAGGTAGCCAGTTTAATTCATGGCTGTCAAGTATGATTCAAACTTTTGTAACACAGGAGTGGGGTTGCCTCTGGCTGCTGTGTCCCAAAGGAGATGACTTACGATAGCAATCCACAGGTATATCCCTAACACACACACACACACACACACACACACGATAATGAGGAATTTTTAATACCAGAGCTCAGGGGTATGGGCTGGAGATGCCCAGCAGCCAGTCAAAGCTTTATCATCCAATTGCAATCACTTCTGGAGCCTGGGTATTGTGTTGATGGGGAATAACAAAGGTAAAGGTTCAGTAAGAGTTCAAATCAAGCTGTGATGATGAGAATGAGAAAGGTAGAAGCAACAAGAGCTGACCTCTCCAGCCCCTCCTCACCAGCATTACATGAGGAGATCAAGTGGAGAGGCGGGAAAAATTTTAATTCCACGGGTCCCTTCTGGCTCTAAATCCTGTGAATTACACATGTATAACTTTACCTAGGGAAAGATATTCTCTGCTGCTGAGAGACCCAGACTCATATTCTCTGATGATGCCAAGAGACCCAGACTCAGTCTGGCACTGTGTGCAGACAATGTATGCCATGATGATTTGGAGACATCACTTTTGTATTGCTCCTTCTCCACTGCTGAGCACAAGCCATACAAATAAGCTTTGCCTTCTCTTATCTGATAGCCAGGTGACAGTGTGTTTTGAGCCTGAAAGTATAGCTGGTGTGCTCAATCTGATGTTTCCTTGTTATGACAAGGGAGATAATCTTCATAATAGTTGTAATGTTTGGCATTTTAAGTTAATGGAGGATAGAGCTATATCTCTTAAGACACATTTCCAAAGTGCAGTATGGGAAGTCAGAATCTTTTTTGGGTATCTCATATCAGGCATGCATTACCAGTTACAGTGCTTCAGAGCATTTTCCTGGGATGAAATTTGAGGAGCTACTAAACCTGCTCCCTAATGGTAGGTTTTGACATTTCAATAGACTATGAGTTCACTTAATCATAAAATCACATAGTTGTAAGGGGCCTCAGAGGTCATCTAGAGTAAACCATATATGAACAGGAATCTTCTCTATTATACCACCAGTTCATATGATCAGTAAACATTTATTAAGTGCCTGCTATGTGCCAGGTACTGTGCTAAGTGCAGGGGATACAAAAAAACAACAAAAGGTAGGCCCTGTCTTCAAGGAGTCAACCCTCTAGTAAACACTTGAGTAAAGTTCTAATTGTTGGAATTTTGTTGTTGATGTTTTAGTTAAAGCAACCCTAAATCTGCTTCTACAAAATCCTATACGTTATTCTTTGTGCCCTTTGGAGACAAGCAAGTCTGATCCCTCTTACATATGATAGTCCTTCAAATATCTGGATATAGATGTTGTGTCTGCTGTCATCCTCCTTCACTCCTATATACACATCTTTTCTTCTCCAGGCTAGACATAACTAGTTGGTCAAACAATTCATCAACAGATTATTTATTAAGTACTTACTACATGCCAGGCACTGGAGATATAGATCTAAAGAATGAAACAATCCCTACTCAGAAGGAGCTTAAAATCTAATGGGGGAGAATATTAAATATTTTAAGTAGAGTTAGGCCAAAATTTTAAATGGCTAAAATGGTCCGTAAAGAAAACTTTTCTTTCTCTCTCTTTTTTAAACAGATGAAGTAGTTACATCGCATGGTGCAATTGAACCAGATAAGGACAACATCCGTCAAGAACCATATTCTTTACCCCAGGGTTTCACATGGGACACCTTAGACTTGAGCAATCCTGAAGTAGTGAGTAAAACAGTTATTACTTTGAACAATTTACCTGAGTAAAGCAGTTGTGAGCTGACTTTGAAAGGTAGAGATGTAACACATCTTTTGTCTTCCGCTCACAGCTCAAGGAACTGTATACATTGTTAAATGAAAATTATGTAGAAGATGATGACAATATGTTCAGGTTTGATTACTCCCCTGAGTTCCTCTTATGGTGAGTAACAAGTTGCATTTGCTATTCCAGGGAGCTGTGCACATGAGTTGTCATTTTGAGAGGGAAGGCCCCTCTTTTTTTTTTCCTTTAAATCTATCCATAGACCTTAATTTGCTTTTCCTTTGTCTCTGAACTGATTTTAGGGCTCTTCGTCCTCCAGGCTGGCTGCCTCAGTGGCACTGTGGAGTTAGGGTTTCTTCAAACAAAAAACTAGTGGGGTTCATAAGTGCCATTCCGGCTAGCATTCGGATTTATGACAGGTATATATCAAATCTTAAATATGTATTTTTGTACTTGCACAAAAATGATCTCTTTACTGTGATAATTTTGACATCAAGGGCTAGGAAGTACGGGATCTACTGTATCCTACCCACTTCCTCCAAGCATTTTTATGCAGATGAAATTAGGTAAAAATGAGTGTTATGGATAGCCTTGTAAGTACTGAAAGGCAACATGTTGCACAGGTATATGAGTAGAAATAGGAAGAGCAGTTCTACTTAATTTGCCTTAGAAGGAAGATAGTGGAAATTTAATATTTTAGCGTGTGTAAATATAAACAGGTATATATTTGTGTGTGTGTGTGTGTGTGTGTATTTATATAGCCAGTCTTTTGAGAGGCGGCATGAAATAATGCATAGAAGACTGGTCTGAAATCAGCAAGACCTGGATTCTTGCCTCTTATCCATACTGGCTTTGTAACTGACCCTGGGCAAGTCACTTAACTCTTAGTGCCCTGGGCAGCTAAGACTATCAGTTGCATAGTTGAAGAGGGAGTTTCCTTACCAGGAGCAAATTGATGAAATCACAAGTTTGGTGTAAAGAGAACAGTTGCAGATCTGTATTGGTAGAGAAGTGGATCTCCAGACCTGGAGTTCCCCAGACCAATGAAATTGTAGGTTTGGGCTCTCCCTTTTCTTCCCACCCCCAAATACGTGTATCTTTGTCCTTTACTAAATTCCTACTTCATTGCCTCATTGTAGGCTCTCAAGCCTGGAGATAAACTCTCATCCAAAGACCAATAGTTAAATTTAGAGGTGCTTATCACAAAAGGTTGGTCAGAACCCCTGATGGTTCTTGATATTTAAATGTTTCCTTTGTTTTTTTGTGGGTTTTTTTTATGATGGATTTTTTTGCCACAGCAGTTCAGAAAATAAGGTGGGGGGGGGGGTTTGTGATCTGTACTAGTAGGAAAACCTGCATTGATGAAATCCTGGATGTTTTGTAGTGTTCAAGCATTTTCATTATTCAGTTAAGGGAATATGTGTGTCCATGTTTAGGTCTTTTTTCTTTTCTTTAAAACACCCACTGATAGTTTCTTCTTCTTCCCTGCTGGCTGTCTTCCTGAATTGCCACCCAAGCCATCAGCAATGTGGGGGAGCCCAGTGTAGGTGTCCCAGTTTACTATATTCTAGGGGCTCCATTGCTCCCTATTGGCAGGAAAACTTGACTGTTGTCATTATGAGTGAGGTTTTCCAGTCCACTAAACATACAGGGCTTGCCTATACAATAAGGTGACTAAAATGTTAACATGCTTCCAAATGAGTGTTGTCCTGTTCAGAGCAGTCACCGGGGAAGGTCTGTGTTCCATTGTCACTGCCATTGTTTAAAATGCTCAAAGCTCCTCTTGAGGAATTAGTTTCAGGGATTTTGGCACATTCTTGGAAAGACTTGGAATCAGGAGAGACCTGGACTTAAATACTGCCTCTGTGCAACTGTGGGCAAGTCTTAGAGACTAGACCTTAAAAAAAAGATTAAAGTAAATTAACTGAAGAAACATAATATTGTGTTTATAGCAGAAGAATGGGAAAAAATCATAACTTGGAAAAAATAATTTTATAGACAGATGGAGGAAAATATAAACCTTGCATAACTTCAAATGTGAATGGATTAAATAATACAATAAAATGAAAAAGAGTGACAGATTGGATAGGAAAATAACCCCACAATCCACTGGCTATAAGAAACATATTTTAAAAAGCAAAGATGTAGGGGCAGCTAGGTGGCCCAGGGGATAGAGGGCCGGCCCTGGAGTCAAATCCGGCCTCAGACACTTCCCACTTACTAGCTGTGTGACCCAGGGCAAGTCACTTAACCCCATTGCCCAGCCCCCCCCCCAAAAAAAACCCCCCCAAAACAAAAAAAAACCCAAAACAACAAAGATGTATACAATATAAAACTGAGGAGATAGAAAAAATTTGCCCTGCAAATCTTAGAGCTTTTCTGAGCCTCAAGTTCCTGAGCTATTAAAATAGTGATAATACAGTACATTTCAAAAAGTATTTACTAAGTACATACTGTGAGCTAAGAACTGAGGATTCAAAGACAAAAATAGCCCCTAGCCTATAATACCTATAGTTCCTATATCCCAGAGTAACTGTGAAGTTCAGATGAAATTATTATATGTAACATGTTTTCCAATATTTGAAGAGCTATATGTTAGCTGTAATTATTCTTTTAAATATCCTCATGCTGGCATATAATTATAGATTTGATTTTTAGAAGTAGCCAAGAGTTATTTAGAGACAAATTTTATAGATGAGGTGGGTGACTGAGCTGGGTAAAATTAGAACCATGATTTTTCTTGTAAGGTTCTGATAGCAATTCCCAAAGATAAACTCTGGGACATGTCTTGGGTGGTTAGTATCTTAAGTGTTTAGCTTCTCATGAGGATGGCCATGCAGGATAACTTTCATTTAGGATATGCTTATTAAATAAGTCTTCATGCTTTATCAGTCACATGTTGATTAACATTAGAAGGATAATCTAGATCATGTGGCCCTCTAGGTCCTGTGACTAAATCCAAACTTCATAGAACAAATCCCCTTAATAAAAGGATCTGTTCTGTAAAACTTGGACTCAGTCAAAAAGCCCTACCCAGGGACATAGAAGGCCAAATACAGCCTCAATGCTGAAGGTTCCCCACCCCTGCCCTAGGTCCTAGGCTAGGCTGTAAAAGTAGGGTTAATTCTACAATGTCTTTGAGCCAAGTGGAAAGGAAACACAGTCCAGCCATTGTTTTCATCAAATCAGGGACGAGTTTCCTGAGAATTAGGGCACCAGGTAGGGTTCAGACTATTATCTGATATCTTCTTTAACTTGAAGAGAAATGGGTTACCCAAGATTCTCAATTGCCAAAGCTTGGCGTCTTTGAAATTCTTTAAATGATTCAAATTGGGCCATATCACCATCACAAATTTTAGGATTTCCTAAAGACTTTGCCTTGAAGGCATTTATTACACTATATTCAGGCAAAAAGAATATGTAGTAAAGGGTTTGTAATAATTTTAAGATTTTGTAAAATTAGCATTATTAAATTGTAAATACTTTGCAATCAAATTTATGCAAATGTATTATAAAACTTAATGAATCCATACTTATTAAAAAAGAAGTGATTTGCTATCCTAAGTTAGAGAAGTATATTAATTATAGAATGTTTTTTAAAATGAAATTCAACTTTATCATTTTTATGTACGTTGATTTTTAAAAAATTTTTTTTTGGGGGGGGGCTAGGCAATGGGGTTAAGTGACTCGCCCAGGGTCACACAGCTAGTAAGTATTATGTGTCTGAGGATGCATTTGAACTCAGGTCCTCCTGAATCCAGGGCCAGTGCTCTATCCACTGTGCCACCTAGCTGCCCCTTATTTTTATGTACATTGAGTAAAAAGAGTTAGTAGTGTTGCTAATAAGAGCTTGTTTATAATTACCATCATATGTTACAGTTTGGTGCTACTACTGAAATTAATGAAAAGTGGTTTCCCATAACAGTCTTGTGCTGTTTTGGCAAAGCTACTTTCACATAAAAGGTAAGTTTTCCGAATTGTCACAAATTCCAGATTGATAGAACCTTAGTTAATACACCTGATCCCCTTTAAAAAACCCCAAAGAATACAAAAGTTTATGGAAAAAAAATTTCTTGTGTTGTCCATAACTTTTGACAATTTGTTTCTTAGTGTGAAGAAGATGGTAGAAATAAATTTTCTCTGTGTTCATAAGAAGTTGAGATCCAAACGGGTAGCACCAGTGCTGATTAGAGAAATAACTAGAAGAGTCAACTTGGAGGGGATTTTTCAAGCTGTTTATACAGCAGGAGTAGTCCTTCCCAAGCCAGTGGCTACTTGCAGGTAAGGAGAACATTTTTTTGTCATTTAAGCCACCACTCTGTTTCCATTCCCATTTCCAAACTGAACACGTCTGCTGTGCTCAGGAAAAGCAGTGTCTAGGCATTTTAAAGCCATCATACTTAGTATTATATTTATTAGCATGCCATTCCTTTGTCCCCATCCATTTTTCAGAAGCAAATGTATGTGGGATGTGTTTTTCTTTTACTATTTTCTCCTTTCTATTGTGTTTGGCAAGCAGTTCCAAGAGCCATACTGAATACATGGTAACAGTGGATAAAAGAGGCATTAACAACTTTATTTACCAAAAAGGAAAAGTACATAAGCATTATTCACACCTTAGTCAGTTAGTAAGCATTTATTAAGTGCCTGTTATGTGCCAGGCACTGTGCTAAGTACTAGGGATACAAAAAGAAGTAAAAGACAGTCCCTACCCTCAAGGAACCTACAATCTGTGTACAGGATAATCAGGAAATAACTAAAAGAGGGAAAGCACAGAATTTAGAGCAGTTTGGTTTCCTTTACAAGATGTGATTTTAGTTGGCACCTGAAGGAAGTAGGGAAAGCAGGTGATACAGATGAGGAAGGTGAGCATTCCAAATATGGGGAACAGCCAGAGAAAATGCCCAGAGCTGAGAAATTGAGTATCTTGTTCATGGAACAGCAAAAAGGCCAGTGTCACTGGATCAAAGAATACATGGCAGAGAATTAATTACACGAAAGAAGACTGGAAAGGTAGCATGAAGCTAGGTTATGAAGGCCTTTCAGTACCAAACAGAGGATTGTACATTTGATCCTGAAGGTGATAGAGAGCCACTGGAGTTTATTAAGTAGGAAGGTGACATGATCAGACCTGTGCTTTGAGAAAAACCACCTTGGTGGCCAAATGTAGGATGGATTGGAGTGGGGAGAGATGTGAGGCAGGCAGACCCACCAGTGGATATTGCAGTAGTCCAGTCATGAGGTGATGAGGGGCCATCAAGGTAGTGGCTGTGTCAGAGGAGAGAGTAGGGTGTATTTAAGAGAAGCTGCAAAGGTGAAATCTACAGGCCTTGGCAACAGATTGGATATGAGAGGTGAGAGATTGTGAGGAATTTAGGGTGACTTCTAGGTTGGGAGCCTGATGGACTGGGAGGATGGTGTCTTCTATAGTAATAGGAAAGATAGGAGAAGGGAAGGCTTTAGGGGAAGAGAGGGTGAGCTCAGTTTTGGACATTTTGAGTTTAAGATGTCTACTAGACATCTAGTTCAAGAGATCTGAAAGACAGCTGGAGATGTAAGACTGGAGGTCAGCAGAAGGGTTGGGGCAGGATAGGCAAATTTAAGAATTAGAGAAATGATAATTAAAAATATAAGAGGTGCTGAGATTCCCAACTACTACTACTTAATATGAAAGCATAAGAGGAGAGGGCCCAGGAGAGAACCCTATGGGACAACAGTTAGAAAGTGTGACTTGATGAGGATCCAGCATAGGAAACCGAGCAGTAGTGTGAAAGGTAAGAGGAGAACCCAAAGAATGGTGTCCAGAAAACCTAGAGAGAATATCAAGGAGAAAGAGGGTGATCAGCAGTGTTAAAGGACTAGAGAGGTCAAGAAGCAAGAGAATTGAGAAAAGGTCCTGGGATTTGGAAATTGGTAATGATCTCTTTATCATCAGTAACTTTGAAGAGGGCAGTTTTGGTGAAATAAAGTCAAAATCTGACTTAAAGAAAGGAGTTAAAAGAAAGTGAGAGGAGAGAAAGTGGAGGCTCCTGTCTAGAAGGCAATGGCTTCTTAAGGAGTTTAGCCACAAAGGACAGAAGTAGGAAACAGCAGGGATCAAAAGATTAAGTGGTTTTTTTGAGGATGGGGGAGACATGGGCATATTTGTAGGCCCTAGGGGAGCAGCCAGCAGACTGTGAGAGACTGAAGATAAGTAAGAGAGTGGAGATAACAGAGGGAGAAGGCTGTTGGAAGAAATGGGGTGGAATGGGATCACTTGTGTGGTTAAAGGGGTTTGTGTGAGAACAAGAGTGAAGGAGGAAATAGTGCTGAAAGCATATGATGTGAGATATGCTGTTACTGAAGCCTTAAGATATTCTTTCAGGAAGATCCTATCTAGTCATCTTCCCTTGCTGCACCCCACATTTGTCTCTTCAATTTCTCTCTCTCTCTCTTAAAATATATAAACAAGTAAGACTCAGGTGTATGGTGCACATTCCATTAGTATCAAGGGACATTTCTTTTTTAAGGCAGATGTTTACTGACTGCTCAATCATGAAGGACAATATTTTTATTCATCAAAGAAACTAAAACAATGAAATTTTAAAAATTAAACTCTACTTAAATATATTACAAAAGGCTCCTTTTAATCAAATCCTTTTCCCCCATCCTAAAAATATAGATCAACCTTATGAGCCTTATGTTCTTAGCTAAAAAGGTGTCTCTCTGACTGGACCCTGAACCCCTACCTCCACATTTTACCATGATACACTAGTAATGGGGAGTTTTAAGAACTGGCATCAAAAGGCACATGCTTTTAAAATTCAAAATTTTAACTTTTCTCCTTTGCCAGTCAGAACCCCAGACCTATTTTCTGTGGGTTACAACAGAGAAAACAAAAAGGCCAGAGGAGTCAAAGTTGGGGGAGACATGTATATAATTGCTCCTTGGCTTGACTCTAACTGATTGAAGTGCCTGACCAAGACTTGGGGTCTCTTAAGGGAAACAAGGATGGAAAACAGCTAACTTGTTTCCACCAGCAAATGGAAATTAGCAGAAAAGTTAGGGCAGGATAGGTAGATTTGAGAGTCATCAGCAAAGAGAGAATAATTCAGTCCATGGGAGCTGAAGAGATTCCCAAGTACTACTACTTACTTTATGTAGAAGGATGAGAAGAGAGGACCCTAGGCCCCCTCAAGGAAAAGTGCCCCTAGGCAGGAGAAGCCAAATTGGAGAGAGTCTGAAAGAGAGTTGGCCATGGACCACCAGGTGACCAACTTATGAGTCATAGATCCTTCTTCCTCTCATCCCATACAGAGATTTGCAGGAGTGAAAGAAGGAAAATACAGGAAGCAGTAGGAGTAGCATCCATGGTAGCTACAGCAATTTGGGGAAAGTGCCACCATCCTAAGTTGGCTCTATGAGTTACTGGCATATTAAGTTGTGCCTAGGTTCACCTCATATTTACACCTATAATAAGAGGAGGTAGTTGAGCTAAAACTATGACATTAACGGATTCAGTTTCCATTTACATAAAATAAGAGCAAAGCCACATTAATTTCACAACTATGTTTTAAAAACCAGTAATAAAATCTAAGTACATAAATGGAAAAGTGATTGCAGAGGGTCACCAAGAAAATAGGAAAAGTAAAAAGTTTAAAATAATAAAATATTTTGAGAGCACATTTTAAAATACAAACAATTCACCTGTTTAGACTTTATAATGTCTAGCCAAAATAAACCTTGATTTTCAGTACCTATTTTCTTGGGTAACTATTGTTTAAAGATGTAACTTGGGGAAAATATTTAAAAATTTTCTAGTGTAAGGTTCTTCCATTGGGAAAGAAATGCCCCGTAAAAAAAAGTCTGTTGGAAACTTAATAATCTCAATCAGATGAACAAAATAAATAGTAAAAATAAGTCATGAAACCATAAGCTCCAAAATATTGCTAAGTAGAAAATACATGTACACAGATAAACTCTTGTGTCAATTTTCTTTTCCCTTTGTGTACTTACCAGGCTGTTGCTTTTTAAAATATAGAACATATTTTATTCTTAATGGTTTTGTTCACTTTGAAGTCTTCATAGTTGTTATTGTATGTTGTGGTACATTAACATACACATACACGCCATACTACATTCAGATATTCCCTAATCATTGAACATAGAGGCTGATTAGAGATTTTCAATTAAAGTAAAGCTACTATGGATATTTTTATGAAGATAATTTTTACTTTTTAGTAACATCCTTAAAATATAGGTTTAGTAGTAGCAGCTCTTACTGCAGGCTGCCAGATTGCTTCCCTAAAAGGTTCACAGTTACCTCTTCCTTTAAAATCTCATCAGCATGGTATTTTTAACAGCTTTTACCAATTTTGATGGGTATAAGATAACTACCTTTTTTTTGGTTAACAATTCTCTTACTTTCAAGTAGGCATTTTTGTTCCTTTAACATACAATGGCTCTTTAACCACTCATTAATGCCTTGGGGAATGGGTAGTAGTCTTATAAATTTGTGTGCTAGGTGTCTGATTTTTCTCAGATATATCTATTACAGAGAGGTAGCATGGAATAGTCTATAAGAGGGTCAGTCTTAGAAGCGGAGTAACCTGTGTTCCAGTCCTACTACTGAAATATGCTGGCTGTGAGACCATGGGCAAGTCACTTAACTTTGCATTTACCCCCAAGCAATTCTTTAAGACTTAAAGATGCAGAACAGATTCAAATTTATACCAGCAGAGGAAGTTCCCTACGACCACAAAATCAAAGGATTGAAAGAAACCAAAAAAAAATTGACGAGGATTTTTTTCAGTGTTTTTTCTTTTTATTTTGAACATATTGCTTATATTTCTACAAGCCAGATCCATCTTTATCTCCCAGAATTTCTTCCTTGAGTCAGTAAATAAGACTTTTTCTTTCAAATTTGACATCAATATGCCTTTCCTTTTTCTTCAGATGTTTTAATGTTGTCTTTACATTGAGCACATTGGAGTTTTTATAATTTATCCAATTGTTATATACCACTGACAAAATAAAGACCTATTCTGAGCTCTCATCATACGAGGGAGGTGACTCTGGGTTCCTGAAGGCTGAGTCATTGGAGTATAAGCCACTGGCAGTTGCTATTATGCTATCAAGGCTTTGAGCACAGGGCCAGGCATTTCTCATCTAAAGACATATGTAGCCAAGTTCAGAGGTTCATCATCAGCTTAGCCATGAGGGAATTGGCTTTTCAGGCATAGCAACTGAAACTGGTTATGAAGGCATTTGCTGTCTGAATGGGTGAAGGGAAAACTCACACCTTGGAAACCCTAAAGCCTTGAAATACCTAATTATGTGGTATGGGTTGTGAGTCTAAAAAACTGCTGTGCAATTTTCTCCAGTATTGATTGCTTTCTTCAGCATGATAGTCATGGGTTTTTCAAACACTAAACTGTTGCATACCTTTGTTTCTAAATGTTTTCTCCATTCTGTTCCATTGACTTAGTGTTTATCCACCCCCAAATCATTTTGATAATTACTGCCTTTGCTTTTCACAGGATCAGTGTTGGGGTTAAAGATCTTACTGAGCTGGGGTAATATTGATATTCCTTCTATAAATAACTTCAAGATTTACTTTTACAAAAGAAAGAAAGGAAGGAAAGTCAATATCTGTATCTTCATGGATACTAGGAATAATTTAGAGGTAAAAAGTGAATGAAAAATAACTTTCTTATGTCTATAGATTTTAGTGGTATACTGTTGAGCAACTGAACTAGGTCTTAAATAAACCATAGCGAAAGCTTTAGAGGAAGCATTGGACAACAAGAATAATGTTATAATGATATGAGAAATCAGATTTAAAAGTCTTTATTGCACTGTGTTTCCAGATACTGGCATCGATCACTAAATCCCAGAAAATTGGTAGAAGTGAAATTTTCTCACTTGAGTAGAAATATGACTTTACAGAGAACAATGAAGCTATACAGACTTCCTGATGTAAGTAAGAACAATTTGCAATTCTTCTGAGCTCAAACCGATGAAGCTTTGAGCTTAGAAAAAGGAATATTTATAGGGGTGTAAAAACATACTGAATGTTTGTGAAGGTGACATAGCGACAGGACCACAGAGGACACACATGCTAGCAGAGGTTGGCAAGTTTATTTTGAAATACCAGAGATTTTTAATGGCTTGATTATTCAGTTTGTGGTTGGACAGGACCAAACTCAGGAAATACAAGTCTTTCAGGGTATGAATTTGTCTATTGGAAAAGGAAAAGGGTGGACAAGTCCAGGCTCTTGCTATTTTAACTTCTTGGAATAAAAAATAAACCTTTTTTATAAGAGGCCTGTAGGAAGAGATATTTTGTCACCCATATCACTCATAAATCAAATAGCAATGTTCTTAGGATTAAACTGTTCAGAATTACTCTACTGACAATCACTTTTATAGCCAGGAGTTGCTAGCCCCAGCTTTGTGTTCTGGCATTTTGTTTTGGTTTTTGGTCCTTGACTATGTTTCTTACACAACTGTTCTTTGCTTTAGGTTGTTACAAAGTAACTGAGTACTGTGATTTTATTGGATAATAAGTGTAGAATGCAGCCATTTTCACCTTGAAAATGGTGAGGAATCTTTGTTCTTTGTAGTTTCTTTGGTTTTGGGGAGGCAGTGATTCACACACATGTAGCCCTTTTTTTTTTTTTAACAGTTTATAGAGCCCTTTCCTTACAACAGTTCTATTGTATATCCATTATATTATATATCCATTTTATAGACTTGGAAACAGAGGCCCAAGGGAGGCAAGAAGTGACTGGCCTAAGGTTACAAAGCTAGATCTTAGACCCAGCCCAAATCGTTGCACTACACCAGGTAGTATCTTGTTTGTCTGATAACAGAACCCCCAGCTTCAGGGGGGGGAATGACTAAATAGAGGAGACGAGACCCAAGTAGTTGGAGGATATAGAAAGTCTGTCACTTAGCATATCAAAGGGAAAGGATACTTTCTTTTCAGTTCAGTTAATTCTATTAGTGGAAGTAGTAGAATGAAAAATGATGATTCACTGTCTCTGAGTGAGTTGAAGGACAAAAGAGGAACTGAGGAGGAAAAGAAACCAGGCCAGGGATAAGGAAAAAGTCTCTAAGGCCAGGGAAGGGAGACGGGGCAAAAACATGGAGGCTTGAAAGGACAAAAATTGAGGTAGAGACAAAGGGACTTTGAAGCAGAAAGAGAAAGACACAAGCAAAGTGAACAGATGGACCCACTAACAAAGGCCATACCTTCATTACTAATCTAATAATTTTTTCATTGTTTTTCTTTGTAGCTACTTATGTACCCTACTAGGCTGTAAGCTCCAGGAGGGTAAAGATGTGATTTTACTAGGTATTTTTAGTCTACTAAGAGAGTCACAAGGAAACCCTAATCCTACAAGGTATAAAGGCATTTTACAGGAAGCAAAAAGGGAAAACCCCCTCATAATGTATCATTTGTTCTCAGTTACTCTTGTGACCAGTTGTGGTCCCAGACCTTCAGTTCCATTGTGACCACCAAGGTCTTAGAAGTAACACACAGGGATTCCTGGAATTTTCTAAGTACTTTATTGATACTACCTAGTTCTGGGGCAGTGGGGCTGATCCGCCCCACTTCTGTTCTGTTTAGCAACTCCTGTTCAGTAACTCTTTTCCTCCCATTTCTGTGATCCTGAAAGATGACTCACTTTTCCTCCCCCCTTCCCCCCCGACTCAGCACTGTAACATCCGAACTGGAAGTCCCACTTCTCTTGTTCTTCACTGGGGTTTGTACTTCATGTGCCAGTTTGGGTTTGGGAGTGAGAAGTGTCTAGTCGGTTGTTACCACCATAACCTTGTAGCAGTTCGAACTGCCCTGGCTTATTTGTTCTCGGTTCTTCCTCTAGTCATTCTGACAGTCTAGCCTGCTTCTGCATTTGTGTGGTCTTCTTGTGGCTGTCTCTTCCTTCTATTAATGTATAATAGCTTTCAGAGGCCATCCATTTCATCTTTTGAGTCTTCTGTCCTTGAGATAACATCTTGTGGTATTAAATTCTTAAAATAAAGCTGCTTCTTAAAGATAAAGCTAACAAAATTATTGCCAGTATCAGTATCACTGAGTGGGCCTTATAGTTCACATATTTGCATGGGAGGTAACTCCTGCCCAAGTCTTACCCATCCCTGCCTTCCACTAAGTCAGCCTTTTTGCCCATTTTAGTTTGGTTTTTTTTTTTTGGTTTGTTTTTTAGGCAATTGGCCTTAAGTGACTTGCCCATGGTCACATAGCTAGTAAGTGTCAAGTGTTTGATCTGAGGCCACATTCAAACTCAGGTCCTCCTGACTTCAAGGCTGGTACTCTATCTACTGTGCCACCTAGCTGCTCCTTTTTTGCCCATTTTAACTCTCAGCTTGGTATTTCTATTCCTGCACCCAGAACCAGAGCCACCGTAACATGATCTGAAAAGAATGCAGAGTATCATGCATACAAAGTTTCTCTTGCCTTTGTTCACATAAGTAAGTTAAAGGATTTTAATGAATAATAATGATAACTATAACTTCCGTTTGTATTATGGTATCATTTGTATCATGATTGTGAGTTAGTACTCTTGGGCTCTTTCTCACCTTGACCACTCACTGTGACTTTGGGTAAAGTCCCTAAATCTCTCAGGGTTCTACTTTGTTCATCTCTAAAATAAGGAAGTTGAACTAGATGATCCATAGGAATTGCTTGGATATGCACCCTGCCCTTGCTATTTACAGCGGTCCAGAGGCAGGTTACTTCCCTTTTCTCATGCCTCAGATAGGAGGGTTGGACTAGATAAGGTCTGTTACAGTTCAGAGTCCTATGATCACCCCATTTTCCTTCCTCTTCCTTGACCTAATTGCCATTCATCACTCTCTTGAACAGTCACCCCGAGATCAAAGTGACTTGAATAACACAAGCTTAGAAAACATCAAAATCCTATTGGACAGGAGAATAGACAAGGCAGAGGGAAAAAGCCGCAGGAAGCAAACCCCCCCAAGAGCAGTTCTTGGTCAGTTTTGTCTGTAAGCTTCCAGTTTCCAGCACTACTTACAGGCAGACAAGCCTGCTCTCCATCATATAACTCAGCCTTTGGTCTGTTTTTAATGAACTTAAAAACCTTTAAAATAGATAATAAAAAACTTACAAAATAAAGAATAAAAATCTTACATAGAACTCTTAGCATTTAGTAAAGTAGAACCAGATAAATTCAAAGGAAGCCCCAAATATTTTGTCATAGGTCACTTCCAAGTCTGTCTATTTGCAACCATGTATCATCCTCTAATTTTGCATGACATCATATAGACCTTTCCATACTTCCTTGTATGCTTACTGTTTATCTTCTTACTGCACAATAATTTATACAGCCAAGCTTCAGTTGTCAGACATATAGATTGATTCCAATTTTTAAATTTTTTTCAAATAGTGCCACTCTAAGTATTTTTGTATGGATAGGTAGTCTTTTCCTAGTAATGAAAACAGTGGGTCAAAATACACGGTCTTTGATTTCACTTATATTGCGTATTGCTATGCCGTTCTCCTAATAGTTTGTCTGATACATACATCCCCACCCACAATGTTTTATTTAAAATGCCTGTTTCTACATAGTCTTGTCAACATTTTTGTCCTTTTGGTGGGTGATATTTAAGGGCTTGAATTTATCAAATCATTAAGGAATTTGAACATCTCATAGTAAAAGTTTGTATTTTGTCCTTCTAAAATTGTCTATTCTTGCCCCTTGATCATTGCTCCATTAGGGGATGTGTATTAGTAGTCATGAATATGTATCAATTTTTTTGTATAGCCTCTGTATGTCAGACTTTTGATACATTTAAAGAAAATTCTTTTTTTTCCAATCTGCTGGTGAGGGTTGTGCTTTTATTTTTGCATAATCCAACTTGTCAATTTTGTCTCTGATAATTATATTTGTTTGATTAAAATATCTGTCCTTTCCATATAGAGTTGAGACAAATACTTTTTGTCTGTTTTTTGTTTGTTTGTTTGTTTTTAGGCAGTTGGGGTTAAGTGACTTGCCCAGGATCACACAGCTAGTAAGTGTCAACTGTTTGGTCTGAGGTCGGATTTGAACTCAGGTCCTCCTGACTTCAGGGCTGATGTCCTATCCACTGCACCACCTAGCTGCCCTGAGATTGCTACTCTTTAAAAAGAGGAAAATAATATTTATGTAAGGAGGGTTTGAGGACTGTACAGCATGCTGGGATTTGTAGTTCAGAGGGATTCAGCCCTCTCACTAATGTGAGACTCTCATCATCTTTGAACCAGAAGGTGGACTTGTTTCATGCCTGCGAGTTCTTAATGGGATACACTGCGCCACCTAGCTGCTCCGTTTTTGTTTTTTATGGCTTTCCTATGTGTATGTGAATCATTGATCCAGTTTAGAATTTAGTAGAATTTAGTTTAACGTGGATCTCAAAACACTCCTTATAAAATAACATAGCTAGCTAGCAGATTTTATTGAATTCATTTTATTCCCCATTTTTAAAAATGTGGATTTATCAAATACTAATCTTGATAGACTGACACAAACAGTTCACTTCTTGGGTTGTGTGTGTTTATTTCTCTAATCTTTTATCTAGTATGTAACTCTTTTATAATTATAACTTCCTTATTAGGACATTTTATGATCTGGTAATGCTAGAATGCTCTTTTCCTGCTTTCTTTTTCACAATTTTTTGGTATATTTTTACCTGCCTATTTTTCCACATGAATTTTATTATGACTATCACAACTGGTGAGATAAGCTTTTAGTATTTTTATTAATAATGCATTTAAATTCTAAGATAATTTGGGATGTACTGACATTTCTACTATGCCCCAGTGAACTTGAGCAAGGAATATCCCTTTACGTTTCTTTAGTTATTTGATTTCTGTCAAAATCAGTTTTCTTTATATAGGTCTTTTGTAGGCCTTGATAAATTAATGCATAAATCTTGGGTGCATTATGTTATCA